GTACAGATGTAACTTAAAGTAGGTCTTTGGTTAGCCTTTGGTATGAACATTGATGCATTGCTGTCTTGTATACACGAAGGTGCAGACAATTATCTATACTCAGATGTTTGTAAAAAGAAATCAGACAAATATTTGATTCATTGTTTTTATTTTATCTGCATCTGCCTTTGTAATGCTTTCAAATCTCTATATGTGCTGTTATGTTAGTAATCTAGATATCAAAGAAATCGGAATTTCGATTAGAATTACGATTCTACTGTTTTATAGGACATGATAGTTTCAAATTTATGCATCTTATCTTTACCTATATCGACATTCCCATCCTATATTGCTAGATTCAAAGGAACCAATGATTCAAGATAGTCTTCTGCTAGATTTTTATTCATTTTAGATAATAAGAATTTCAATAGTCTCATAGAAAATGTCAACAGTTTAGCCTATTTGAAATGATTTTCTCGAATTACAAACACAAATGAAATAATTTTGGTGCCAGCCATTATCAGCTATCAACTGAGACCCTTGAAAATTAGGTTTATTCGATTCAATATATTGATAGAGGTTACAAGTTCTTGACTAATTAAATCATTAAGTGGAGAGTGTGTGTGTAAGTTAAAAGAAGGATTACGTCATAGTCGGAAGAAGAAGACTTATAATCACGCCAAAGTCGGAGAGAAATGTAGAATGCATACGACTTTGTAAACAACTTCTGGGAGGAAATCAAAAAAAAGAGAGCGGATTTGATAGTAATTAAGGAGGGTATAAATGCGAGTAAGTGTGATAAAAAGACAATTTCTTGCAGTCCACAATCACACTCTCACACCCTTACTCTTATATGATACATATGCACAAAATAATTCAAAAAACATCTGAATACTTACTTTTGTTTGAATGATATTTTTGGTAAGAATTGCATTCTAAGATAATTTGATTAGCTTGTGGATTCAAGATCGAACTGTTCTAGAAACTCATTATTTTCGCTAAAAACTAATCGAATTCAATCTAATTTTTGTTAAAAGATGATATCTTGGATCATTTTAAATCCATTAATTATATTGTGTCGGACTTACTGAAATCTTTGTTTGCAAAAACGTTCGACAAAATACAGATAAGAGTTAAGAAAATCCTTTTGATTGCAACTCTCAATCTTTCACACGCATGCACATTATTGCTTGTAGATTCTTAAACTTTTTGAATTTTCAGAGACTGGTTGCAGGTGCGAGGAAAAAAAGGTTCAGTCACATCGAACTAAAAAAACATTTAACATCATTTTATAGCATAATGAAAACATTTTCATCTATTTCTCATAAAAAAGAAATGTTACCAAAAATAAACATACCACTTTGATCATTATACTTAAGAAATCGAATAAACATGTTAAATTCATCCCCAATTATAGTCACTTAGTAATCTATGATAAAAAAAAATCAATACAAACGATATTCATTTATTTAGAAGATTATTCACATTATTTCGTAGACTTTTCTTTCAGTACACTCCACTGTCAGTTTGACAACTTTCTTATAAGTAGTTGACAGTATGCAGAACATAGTAGAAAATGAGAGGTGGCAAGATAGACACGTCCATTAAAGCCATTTTTTATTCATTTATTTCCTTTCATTACATGACTTTCCTTTGTCCTTAAGTTTCGATATATTTCGATGCATTTTAATTTTATAGAAAAAAAAATAATGTCAAATGTTTGAAATATATCCAATTTTGAAAATTTCTTTTTTTTTTACAAAAAAAAATTGTTGTTTTTTTAATGCGATTTTTACTCATGAGAATTCATTAATGACTGTGATGAATATTCTAAGAATAAAAAAGATTCATTCATTAATTTAAAAATCAAAACTTACTTAAAACTTAATTCTTAATATTTTATAGATATTTGTTTTCGAATAAAATATTTAGAAAAAGTTAATTTTTAAATTAGATATAATAATTTAAGTCAAAGAACATTTTTTAAAAACAATTAGTATAGATTTAAGTTAATCAAGTCGAGCTATAAGGCATCATCTAACAATGAACTTAAATGTAAATGTGAATTTTTTCTGCTCTTTCGATTTTATTGCTATGTTCAAATTCGTTCATGAATATTTACTTTGTTGGAATATTATAGTAACTATAAAATTGGTCAATCTGATTAAATGTCGTCGGGATTGAAGAATCTGAATCTTTGATTGATTTCTCAGCATGATTTTTTAATGACAATTTCCTTCTTAGAAGTAATACTCTCTAGTATGAATAGTTTGGTTCTGTTTATATTCAATGCAAGAGAGAAAATGTCCAATCTTTGATTGCGTTCATTTCTTTTATGTTATGAGAAAATAACTTCAAGTTAGGATGTAAATTAAAAGACGATGTTCATACTCTACACTCACAACTATAATGTTGTAAAGTTTTCGCAGACTCTTCAACTATAAACTTCAAAAAATAAAACGACATTGAAACATGAACTATAAATTATGATAAAATTTCTGTAAACTCTTGTATTAGATTTAATCAAAATTTTCTTGAACTCAACCGCAAACCGATGAATATCGCTCAAATATCATGAGTATCACTTTATTAATATAAAAAAAGGAGCTCAATCTCAAATCTACCTCATTCGATATCTTTATTTAATTTTTACTTTGTCTTTTGTAATGTGTAGAGCGTTTTTAGAACAGCATCGTTCCATAATATTATTATTTTTTATGAAAGTCTTGTTAGTAAAATAGTATTCATAGGTCATATTCATAAAAGAAATATTATCAACAATTGTTTTGAAGTATTTACAACCGACTTTAACAACGACGAATTATGACCTTACGTGAACTATCAATAATAATAGGTTCATTACCATAGCAGATAATAACCGATATATAACTTTTTCGATTAATTCACACTAATGTCACTTCGTTCGTACTTATACTACAGATACATGTCTTGTTATTCAGTATACCTTCAGAGTTTTAATTATAAATAAAATCAGCTGTAAATACGCATAAAGCAAGTTTTGATAATCTTGGATAAAAATGTCAGTCCACTATACCAAGAAGTATGTTAAGTATTTGACTAGTTATTAGAGACAAAAGCACTATGTATAATCTTAAATTTCATTGGACGAATTCTGCCTTTACTGAGTGGATTGCATATCTTATAAACATTTTAAAAAATCTGAGAATATCTCTTTTTTTTACTTGAAGTCATTTTTGAGAATTTTTTTGCTTCAAATTAATAAACTTGACTAAATAAATATCCGCTCATAGACTGTTTTCATAATTTCTAGAATTTCTAGCGAGAAAAAAATGATATTTTGTTTTTTTCGATATTAGAAATAATTTAGAAAAAGAATTCATTCGAAAATTATTTACTATTATATTATTATGATAGTAGTAGATTCCAATGTCATTCAGAAAAAAATCACAGAAAAACAAACTAAATATATATCATGTAGGTTAAGAAATTCTACAACAGAATTTGTAAGTTATATTATATCAATTCGATATTATTGTTCTTATTTTCAATTTTGCTTTAGGGTGCTGATTCTCATGATAATAAAATTAGACTGAAATTATTTAAGATGCTATGTCCGTAGTTTGGCACATCTTCGTTCTCGAAAAAGACAATGAGAATACCTTAAAAAGTTTATAGATGGCGTTAATTGATTTCACTCGGTATATAATCACAAAGATTCTGCCTAAAAATGCCGTAAATAGGTCATTTTCGTCAGTTTTTATCTAGTTTTATCGAGTTTAAGTTAAAAAAACTGATTTCTAAACTTATTTATCGTTTATCTCAAAACATATTTTTTAGTAAGAAAATTGAAACTCATCTCATGGGCTTCAAGTTCAAGGCAGAACCGCTATTTTTTTTTATTATCGAGAGGATGGGCATTTTTAGCCTATTTTTTGACCCCAAGTTCACTAAAATATTCATATTACACGAACAGCGGCAAATTTTAAAATTCTCTTCGGACAAAAGTTGAGTATTGTTATTGGCTTTAATTTGAAACGACTCCGAGTTCTATACCTCTCATAGTAGCGGAGTCATAGGGAATCCGCTCTAGTTGGTCGTATTGAGCTGAAACTTTTACCAGAGACGTTTCTCACTTGGGTTACACATTCCTGAAAATTTTAGCTCGAACAGACTTTGCTAAGTGGGACATCGATTTTGAGAGGAGGGAAGCCTCGTAACCTGAATATACCCATTTTTCTCACGGACAGTACAAATACCTCCATTGTCAGTTTCGCCTGCGTGTTAGTCCAACAATAAAATCTAGTCAAGAGCGTATCAGAATCACCATTCGAACAGCTTGATACAAATTCACTAACATCCAGTGAAATCTCACCAGTATCCTCAATACGAATGTGTAAGATACCATTCGGAAGATCTGTATTAATCATCAATAACAAGATGTGATCAGGAATTTTATCCCATCACGTATAAAGCATCCTTAAGATTCTCCAAAAACATAGAAATTATATGTTCTCAGTTAAGGAGCTTCACATAGTTCATTATTTCATTACTTAAAATCTTATCTGATGCTCATATAAATAAACATGGAATTAATATTACTCTTTCTCAAAAAAATCTCCTTTCACCAATCTCCACGTGTACTTTTTAGGATTAAAAAGATCTTGACAAAAACTAAAAGTGACATAGATGTTATAATCGTTACCGAATCCTTCTTTTTTATACAGAATTAGGAAAAGACTTCTGAATTTTTATCTGCAGAATGAACATTCCCAAAGACGAGTATTGTATTTGTAGCACTTATTCCCGCGAGAGACAGGATCCCTTCGACAACGACGATTCCTTTTCTTTTTTTGTTCATTGTAGTAATTCCCAATATTCCAGTTGATGCCCGATGGGCACAGAATGGAGTGATCGTTTCTGGAGGTCATGGACGAGGCAATGCCACCAATCAACTCTCCGAGTCTGAGGGTCTCTTCGTTGATGATGATCAAACGATAGTCATCGCTGACTTCTTCAATCATCGTGTCATCCAATGGAAGATGGGTGATAAGAATGGACAAGTAGTAGCTGGTGGCAATGGCCAAGGAAATCGCTTGGATCAATTGATTTTGCCAAGCGATGTGCTGATCGACAAAGAGACTGATAGTCTCATTATTTGTGATGGAGGAAATCGACGAGTCGTACGATGGTCTCGTCGTAGTGGTAGAACTCAAGGAGAAATCCTTATCGACAACATCAGTTGTCGAGGATTGGCCATGGATGATCAGAGATATCTCTACATCTCTGATATCGAAAAACATGAAGTAAGACGATATCAAATAGGAGACAAGACTGGAACTATCGTAGCTGGTGGCAATGGCAAAGGTGCTGGTCTTAATCAACTCATCTCTCCGACCTACATCTTTGTCGATCAACAACAAACTGTCTACGTGTCAGACTACAACAATCATCGTGTAATGAAATGGAATAAAGGTGCAAAAGAAGGAATTGTCGTCGCTGGAGGTCAAGGTCAACGGAGTGCTCTGACACAATTGTCGTATCCTAGCGGACTGTTCGTCGATACATTGGGTACCATCTATGTGGCAGACTATGGAAATCATCGAGTAATGCGTTGCCCTAAAGGAGCGAAACAGGGCACTGTCATTGTGGGTGGAAATGGTCGAGGAGAAAGAGTAACGCAGCTCAACTATCCCGTTGGTTTGTCGTTCGATCGACATGGCAATCTCTATGTCGTCGATTGTGGCAATAATCGTGTTCAACGCTTTTCTATCGAATAAACTCGTTACGATGAATTTTTTTCCTTTCCTTCCAGATAAATCGCATTGAATTGATGAAATGAATGTTTATTCTATTCGTGTGCGACCAGGAACCATCCTGATGGAGCCGTAGCGAGCGTAACGTTCATGCACGCACACGACAGACTCATATCTAGGGGCGGCGCCAGAAATTTCCATCTGGGGGGCTCAGCCCCTCAACTCTCAAAATGTCAAGACGTACAGTGGACGTTTTTTGAATGTTTTGTTTCGTTAAGAATGTACTTGGTTTGTATGAGTATATAAAACATACACACTTATATATAGACAAATCAGCTACTTTCATTTAAAAAAATCTAGAAATACAACTTAACGCAATAAAATTCTGCAGTTCTTGTGGTTGCCTGAAAATTTATCTATTACTCGTTCATAGTTGATGTCAAAATCACGTTCAACTGCAAGTACTGTCAAGTCACTTAAACGTTTATCGGTCATTGAATTTCGAAGATAGTTCTTGCCTATCTTCATCTTTGAAAACGATCTCTCGCAAGTAATTTGAGAGATTGACATTGTTATGGCACTTTTAATCATTTGTAATGTTTGTGGAAATGTGTTTGACAATGGAAGTAATTCATTTAAAAATTCAATCACGTCATTGATCGTTTTAGATTGAAGCATGGTTTTAATAACAATAAATTCATTTTTTAATGCACTTGAATCTGTATCAATATGACGACTAAACTCTTCTATATCGTCGATATTCAGAAAATTACTACTTGAAAAATACATTGTAAGAGAATAAGTCAGATGATTGACAATTAATATTCCTTCTACAGCCTAAAGCAACTCGTTGTTTTAATGATTTTTAAGAATTCTATTCTTTAGAAAGAGCTGTCTGAATCTTCTGAAAATAAGTCGAATTTACATACTGTTCATTCTCTTCATGACCTCTAAAACTAATCATTTGAGATGCCAAAAAATGTAATGTTGAACAAATCTTCACAAGACGATCACGATTTTTACGTATTTGAATAGCACGACCAGAATCTAATTTCTTAATAACATTTGAATCGGTTTCTTCTCGTTGTTTATATGATAAATAATTTTTGTTGCAATTATATGTGATTGAGATAATGCGTGTTTTATCAAACCAGTATCTTTCTGCAATACATTTTCCCAGTTGTTAAATCCTGAAGTAGAAAAAGTATCACTAGCAAATAGTTTATTAGTAGAAAAATGACGACAGTAATAACAATAGCATGCGTCTTTTTGAACAGAATACTCCGATCACTGTCTATCAATGCATCAGCTAGATTGAAATGAACGTTTTTGATGATTCAATGGGTAATTTGTTAATTTTGGTTGAACCGGAGGATCAATACATGATGTACTGATATCATTTGAAGCAGATTTTGCTTCAAAATTTTCATTCAAAGAAACCAAGGTTATGAGAGAAGATAATGAAGTATCAGAAATAAGATCACACGTAGTTTGATCACCAGAACATGAAGAAGCAGAAACAGGAGAAATCAGATTTTTTCAGATTCAGTTGATGATAATGAAGATGAAATAATCACGTTTGATTCTGTTTGTTCTTCATTATTACGTGGTTTTTTGGTGGAAGAAAGAAAAAAGGACGCTATAGTCCTACGTTTGTCAGGATTCATTATAAGAAATCAAAAGATTGAAACAGTTGATTCCTTCACGTATTTAGGTTGCATTATAGCCAACGATCAACGACAAGATACAGAAATATCAATACGACTATCAAAGGCTGCTAAAGCTTTTAATATGTTATGCCATTCAGTATGGCATAGAAAGTCTGTTTCTATTGTAGCAAGACTTGGAATATTTAGAGCATATATACTTCCATTGTTATTATATGGTAGTGAAACATGGTCTCTAACAAAAAAACTAGAACAAAGAATTGTCACCTTCTATAACAGATGTTTACGCACGATTATTGGTGTAAACCTTGGTGATCGAATGTTAAATGAAACATTATTAGATATAACAGGACAGCCAAAAATTGAAAACATCATACGTAGAAACAAATTGAGGTGGTTCGGTCATGTGAATCGGGCCGTCAATCGTGATGGTCAGCCAACACTAACTAAAAAAAACTATGTTTGCATATTTTCATAATGAAAAAAAGCCTTGTAATATGTGTAGAAGCAATCGATGGGAGGACAAAGTCCTGAAAGATATTGAAGAACTACACATAGAGAACTGGAGGAAGATGACACTAGATAGAAGTCGATGGAGAGAAGCAATAAATCAAGACGTACCTATCAAACCAACACATACAAACATTAAGAATATTGTTCACGAATATAAACAACGTGCAGCACGAAGAAGAAAAACAGACGTAGCGTTATCAACAGAAACAACAAAAGGCAAAGTAACAGAAATATTAACCAAAGAAAACAACCAATATAAGTGTCCAGGCTGCAAGAAACACTTCAAACCACAAGGAATCAAAAATCATATTAAAGCTTGTACAAAAGCAACAACACGGTGCAAAAAGGACAATATCAATTAGAAACACGGTGAAGATGATTGCAAAGCTCCTACTAGGATTGATCTCGGAATAGTATGATGACTATTATCTAAACTGACACTTTCAGAGGATAGTAGGCTGATAGATGTCCAACCTCAACGCTAGTATTGACTAACATGGCCCTCGTCGTATAAAGACAATAAACATTATTTCTTTTTTTTTGTTCTTTCTATTTTCTTATCTCTTTTTCACTTTGATGATCCTTTGTGTGCTTTGTACCTTGTATCATGTTTCTCATCCCACACCGGAGACGGTAAGGGTCTATAAATCAATAAATAAATAGATAAAATGAGGATTGATATTACGTGAAAGACACTCCACTGAAGAGAGCGAAGAAAAGAAACGAGTCGCTCTATGCACATGGACCAAATAAGATAGGTATCACAATATTTTTTCCTTATCAGTCTATAACGAGAACTTGCTTCATTTGCTGTCTACTCTTACAATGGCTCAACAATATGATTTGATTGCGACGAACTATGCTGCAGCCAAGACACAACATAGTTTTCGTGTCGACATCGAGTATCACACGTTTTTTAACCGATTACTCTTACCAGCACTCGGTATCAACGATGGGATTGTAAATGATATAAACAAACTTCTTTCTAATAAACGTGTTCTGGATCTCGCCTGTGGCGATGGCCATTATACACGTGAGTCATGATGCTGTAGTTCAGCTTCAACAAAAGACCACTGTAGACTAGGTGAAATTAGTTGACTGTTTTCATTTCCAGTTGGGATTCGAAACTTGCAATCTCTGTTGTTGTGGATAATCATTTTGTAGAAAATCTCAAGTTCTATTTTAGTCTTTAAATTTCAGGAGAACTGAAAGAACTCGGTTGTGATGTCATTGTCGGTGTTGACATTAGTCCGTACATGATTGAGATTGCACGTGCCAAAGAACAGGCTCATCCACTGGGAATTACATATTATGTATCGGATGTTCAATTTTTTCCTAAACAAGACAAACAATTTGATATTGCTGTTGCCTTCTTCCTTCTCAATTATGCAAAAACAAGTGAAGAGCTTAAACGTATGGTACGTGTTATCGGTGAACAACTTGTCGACAATAATACCAACAAATCCTATTTTCTCAGTATGACCGTGAACGTATGTGGTAGTGAGAATACATTTAATACCGATATATATCGAAAGTATGGATTTATTCGTCAAGCTCAAATGTCTTTGGTCGATGGGGCTGAGATTAAGTCTACTTTTTTTAATCCTGATGGTTCAACATTCTCATTCATCTTCTACTATTTTTCGCCCGTTATCTATGAACAAGCATTCAAAGAAGCTGGCTTCACCCATTTCGAATGGGTATCTATTGAGGCTGCAAGTGGTAAAGGGGACTTTTACGATGATTTTATAAAGAATCCACCAATAATTGGTATTATCGCGTCGAAATGAGTCAGCGTACTATTTTTTTATATCAACCTGTTATCTCTCTAATTATACGATCGATATGTATTTTTCGAATATATAATAACGAACAGAGATGCCGTTTTTTGTTTTTTTTTCTTAATGGGTAGGTAACCCAATCCATAGCCGGTAAGTGATTGGGTGGAAATTGCTCCGACATTTTTTTCAAAAATCAACCCTTGGGCTACAGGGTTGGGTTGAGTAGGGCAACCTTACCCATTTGGTAACCTACTGGATTAACTTTGTATTTTATAATAACATACGATGTAAAAGTAATGGCACAAAATGTTGATCCATATTTTTCTTTGATAGAATGGAACTAAAACAAAACTTTTTTACCAAAAGATAGAGCTTCTTCTGTTCTTCCAGATTGTATATAATTTATTGTTTCTATCATGTCTGTAAATGAGTCAACATAGTAAAAAAAGAAGTATACCTTCGAAAACATTTCGTGCTTTTTGTAAAATTTAACAAAATGACACAGAATGTTGATTTCCTTGTATTTTGCATTACTCTTCGACAAAGACGTTTTGAAAAGAAAACTTTATTACCACTGGATAGAAAATTTTCTCCTCTTTCGAATGATATTAATTTGTATTTTTGCATTAATATTTCTCAATGCAATGAACCATGAAAGAGAAGAAAACGCTCGCGCGTTAATTTTTCGATTTTCTTATTAACACGCCAAAACACTATATTAGATGACGATAATTTGGTGCATTTTGTACCCATTAAAAAGCTATTGTTAGACAGCAGTTACTCATATGTTTACGAACTTTTTGAAGCTATCTTGCGGATCAGAGTTAACAATGATTAACTACCATCTGGAAGATTTTTTTAACATGCTCATGAAACAACTCCAAATTCATTGTAATTGTTTCTCTCTCTTGTTTCATTGCATTGACGAATACGAATGAAAAAACAACAAATTAATACCATTCGAAAGAGGAGAAAATTTTCTATCCATTGGTAATAAAATTTTCTTTTCGAAACGTATTTATTGAATAAATATAAAGGTCGATAATTTCTGCTACCTTTTTAT